CCTTGCATGAATACTAGTAGATATTTACAACTAAGGAGAAGGTTGACTCAAACGAGTTTTTAACTCTTCTCAGGGAGATCCTTGATTTTCTCAAATGGTTATGAGTGCCATTTTCCAAAAGGTTATGGAGATTTCCATTTCCCAAAAGGTTATGGCATCATTTTCCCAAAAGGTTATGCCTTACAAAAAGCTATGATACCCCAAAAAGACCAACCCTGGCCTCCACAATTGTAGTGCGACGCTGAAAACACTATGGCACGCTGCCTCACCATCATAACTAACAGTTTTTCTTAAAACTAGAAAAAGTGTTAAGACTGCAGTTTTTCTTAAGGCTAGAATTATTATTTATGTCTTGCCAACATGTCCTTAACATACAACTTTATACAGTCTTTGGTATTTTAGTCTGTTTCCCTCACATGGCATTTTAGCCTGCTTTCCTGACGAGAAAGAAGAGAAAACAAAAGTCATGTGGAAATTATCACAAACTAGAAAAAAAATTACAAACCTATTTGCGAAGCCATTTGACCTTTTATCTCTGGAAGTCCATCTGCAGGAATGTGGAACACGTCCTGTTTCAGAAATGTTTACATTATAAATATTTACAATAACACTTTAAAAAGTAGATAACATTCACTTCAAAGTCTCTGGCTAAACCAGTGGTTCTCAACCTGGGGTCCCCAGATGTTTTGGCCTTCAACTCCCAGAAATCCTAACAGCTGGTAAACTGACTGGGATTTCTGGGAGTTGTAGGCCAAAACACCTGGAGACCCACAGGTTGAGAACCACTAGGCTAATCTATTCTTGTTAAATTGTGTGGAAACTGCTTAAAAATGACATAGTAGTAGAATGGTAGCCATCTAATGAAAGATAAGTCAAAATACGGTTCTTGAAGATAAGAGTCATTGGATACTGTAGGAATTTTGTCTGAATTAACATGTAAGGTGCGGCCCCCTTATCCATCGATTTGATATCTATGGTTTCAGTTATCCATGATCCAAAATATCAAATGCTTTTCCCCAGAACTCTTTGAGGACATTGTGATTCTATGATATTCTTCAAGCCCAAGAGTCTTGGAAGGTATAGCTTGTTAATACAGGAACATACACTATAGCAGGCATGGGAAAGCTTCGGCACTCCAGGTGTTTTGGACTTCAACTCCCACAATTCCTAACAGCCTACCAACTTTTAGGAATTGTGTGAGCTGAAGTCCAAAACATCTGGAGAACTAGAGTTTGTCCATGCCTGCTATAGCAGTGGTTCTCAACTTGTGGGTCCCCAGATGTTTTGGCTTTCAGCTTCCAGAAATTCTAACAACTGGTAAACTGGTTGGGATTTCTGGGAGTTGTAGGCCAAAACACCTGGGGACCCACAGGTTGAGAACCAATGTGCTATAGGCAGTATACGTATGTTTACCAAGATGTTGGAGTCCAACTCCCAAATCTCCTTCCACAGAAAATATCCCTTTGGAGCTACCAAAGAGAACCTGAAATTTTGGAAAGTCTTCATCTGCATCCTCCAGTCATCCATCCATAGAGAAGGGAGACAGTCTTATGGCAAAAAAAGATTCCTACCTTAAGGTTGGTTTTGGAAGATGATCGAGTCCCAGGCTCCACTGTGCAATTCTGCTTTGGTGAAAGAGATAGTAGAGGTAGCCTGTTAAATGCCTAATGACAAACACACAACAAACTAGTCTACCATATATACTCAAGTATAAGCCAACCCGAATATAATAAGCCGAGCTACCTAATTTTAGCACAAAAAACTAGGGAAATGTATCGGCTCAAGGCTGTAAAATGCAGCAGGTCAATTTCAAAATAAAAATAGATACCAATAAAAGTACATTAATTGAGGTATCAGGAGGTTAGATTTTTTTTTGGATATTTACATAAAACTGCCCAATTCTGAGTAAATCATTATTCTGACCTTCTTCAATGTAAATGTGCTTACATATCCTTCCAATAATAATAGAGTGAAATAATAAATGTAATAATAATAGAGTAAAATAGTAGTAATAACAGTGATAATAGAGTAAAATAAACATAAGAAAAAGAAAGACTAAAATAGTAAATGTAATAAAATTATAATAGAGTAAAATGATGTAAATGTAATAACAATAATAGAGTAAAATAAAAAAATATAATAAAATAATAATAACAGAGTAAAATCATAAATAACCTTGAGTCAAGTCTAAGCCAGAGGGAGCTTTTTCAGCCTAAAAAGGGGGCTGAAAAACCGGCTGTTAGGAATTGTGGGAGTTGAAGTCCAAAACACCTGGACAGCCAAAGTTTGCCCATGCCTGGTCTAGAGAGTTAAACTGAAGTCTGACCATATGAAATGTAGATAGCAATAAGTATTATTTTAAAAAAAATAAAAAATAGAATTAGAAATACTTTGCTCTATAGTGAAAAGATTTTGGGAGCAGGGGACAAATAGTTTACCATGAATCTGTGTCTTAGCCCCTCCATCCAGTCTGGACAGCCGGCAAAATCCATCAGAGTTGAAGTCTAAAAGAAAAGAAACAGAAGCCAATCTTGCTTCAAGAAACACCTTCTACCTAGGTCCCATATCCAAAAGTGGCAGCAATTTTTTACAATCCTATCGTCCATTACTTCCTTTCATTTTTGTAGCAGGTGAGCCACGCAAATGGTTTCATATTTGGGGGTCCCCGCCTGGCCTTTGTGCCCCCCAAGGAGGGCTTTGGGGAAGCCTACCTCCAGGAGAGGACTTTTGAGGCTGATGTCGATTTCATCCATTGTGACACAACATGCAGCTGTGATGCGACTCTTTCATCACTTTGTTTTTCATTTTGGGCACTTTTCCCAAGGACATAGAGAAAAAGGTTGGGAATGGCAATCTTCTCAAGCCTCCATTGGTTGTTTGTTATGTATATAATTGCTTACTGTACTGTATGTGTGTATTGGTTTGGAGCTTCAGCGTGACCAGACACAAAATTGTAATATGAATATGGAACGACTAAGATAATGTAAACAGATGAGGGATTGTTTCTTAAATAGATTTTTATAGTGTTTATAGCTTTTATGGATTTTATATGTATTTATTATGTGATTTAATTGCTTTTAACTGATATACGAGGGGTATTTTTTAAGTAAGGTCCGTTTTGTTGTAGACGCTAGTAGTTCGCGCGCATATCGCAACGAGTGCGTGCGTCGTGTACCGGCATGCCTCGGGAACAGCTGTGCTCAGTTTCCGCTCTGTAGTTAACCTGTACGGTTCTGTTCTGTGCTTTAAAAACGTTTAAGACTATCAACTCACCCTCCGCATGTGAGGTTCGCTCAGTGATACGGTTTTTGTCAGCAAGGAACCTGCCTGCTGCAGAAATTCATCGACAGATTTGTGAAGTGTACGGTGATACTGTTATGAGTGAAAGCAAAGTGCATAAGTGGATACGACAATTCAAAGATGGCCATGACAACGTCCATGATGAGGACCGCTCCGGTCGCCCTTCTTTGATTACAGACGATTTGGTGGCTTCAGTTGAAGCGAGGATTTGTGAAGAGGGTATTTTAAAATTGGTTCAGAGGTATGATAAGTGTTTGAACAAACTTGGCAACTATGTCGAAAAATAGAGTGAAGTATGTACTTTCTGAAAATAAATTTACTTTTTTGAAATAAACTTTCGTTGTGTACTTATGTTCAAACGGACCTTACTTAAAAAATACCCCTCATATGTATATATGTATATATATATGGCATCGAATTGTTGCCAGTTTGTATGCCGCCCTGAGTCGCCTTTGGGCTGAAATGGGTGGGATAAAAATGACGTAAATAAATAATAATATTTTTTTTACTTAATCCCTCCTTATTATCCAACATTTTCCCTTATCCAATGTTCTGCCAGCCTGTTTATGTTGGATAAGTGAGACTCAACTGTAGCTAATTTTTCAGTGCAATGCATGTATTGTTAAAATATTCAGTAGGCTGTTAGGAATTGTGGGAGTTGAAGTCCAAAACACCTGGACAGCCAAAGTTTGCCCATGCCTGGTCTAGAGAGTTAAACTGAAGTCTGACCATATGAAATGTAGATAGCAATAAGTATTATTTTTAAAAAAATAAAAAATAGAATTAGAAATACTTTGCTCTATAGTGAAAAGATTTTGGGAGCAGGGGACAAATAGTTTACCATGAATCTGTGTCTTAGCCCCTCCATCCAGTCTGGACAGCCGGCAAAATCCATCAGAGTTGAAGTCTAAAAGAAAAGAAACAGAAGCCAATCTTGCTTCAAGAAACACCTTCTACCTAGGTCCCATATCCAAAAGTGGCAGCAATTTTTTACAATCCTATCGTCCATTACTTCCTTTCATTTTTGTAGCAGGTGAGCCACGCAAATGGTTTCATATTTGGGGGTCCCCGCCTGGCCTTTGTGCCCCCCAAGGAGGGCTTTGGGGAAGCCTACCTCCAGGAGAGGACTTTTGAGGCTGATGTCGATTTCATCCATTGTGACACAACATGCAGCTGTGATGCGACTCTTTCATCACTTTGTTTTTCATTTTGGGCACTTTTCCCAAGGACATAGAGAAAAAGGTTGGGAATGGCAATCTTCTCAAGCCTCCATTGGTTGTTTGTTATGTATATAATTGCTTACTGTACTGTATGTGTGTATTGGTTTGGAGCTTCAGTGTGACCAGACACAAAATTGTAATATGAATACGGAACGACTAAGATAATGTAAACAGATGAGGGATTGTTTCTTAAATAGATTTTTATAGTGTTTATAGCTTTTATGGATTTTATATGTATTTATTATGTGATTTAATTGCTTTTAACTGATATACGAGGGGTATTTTTTAAGTAAGGTCCGTTTTGTTGTAGACGCTAGTAGTTCGCGCGCATATCGCAACGAGTGCGTGCGTCGTGTACCGGCATGCCTCGGGAACAGCTGTGCTCAGTTTCCGCTCTGTAGCTAACCTGTACGGTTCTGTTCTGTGCTTTAAAAATGTTTAAGACTATCAACTCACCCTCCGCATGTGAGGTTCGCTCAGTGATACGGTTTTTGTCAGCAAGGAACCTGCCTGCTGCAGAAATTCATCGACAGATTTGTGAAGTGTACGGTGATACTGTTATGAGTGAAAGCAAAGTGCGTAAGTGGATACGACAATTCAAAGATGGCCATGACAACGTCCATGATGAGGACCGCTCCGGTCGCCCTTCTTTGATTACAGACGATTTGGTGGCTTCAGTTGAAGCGAGGATTTTTATGAAGAGGGTATTTTAAAATTGGTTCAGAGGTATGATAAGTGTTTGAACAAACTTGGCAACTATGTCGAAAAATAGAGTGAAGTATGTACTTTCTGAAAATAAATTTACTTTTTTGAAATAAACTTTCGTTGTGTACTTATGTTCAAACGGACCTTACTTAAAAAATACCCCTCATATGTATATATGTATATATATATGGCATCGAATTGTTGCCAGTTTGTATGCCGCCCTGAGTCGCCTTTGGGCTGAAATGGGTGGGATAAAAATGACGTAAATAAATAATAATATTTTTTTTACTTAATCCCTCCTTATTATCCAACATTTTCCCTTATCCAATGTTCTGCCAGCCTGTTTATGTTGGATAAGTGAGACTCAACTGTAGCTAATTTTTCAGTGCAATGCATGTATTGTTAAAATATTCAGTAGCACTGCTGGTCTAGATCCTCTTTTTTCAGTTGGGAATTGTTTTCTGCCCTTTCTGACAGTTAGTGCTGTTCGACTGGGGAATATCCTGCCTCAAAGTGTGGTGGACTCTCCTCCTGCAGAGGTTTTTAAATAGAGACTAGGTGGCCATCTGTCAGTAGTGCTTTGACTGTGTGTTTCTACATAGCAGAGGGTTGGACTGGATGACCTGTGTGGTCTCTTCCAAATCTATGTTTCTATTATTCTACTCAAAATCTGACATTTTAATTTGCATTCCGGGACTATATTCCAAGTAACACTTGTCAACAAACCAACGGTATCCAGAGCTAAGCTGGCTGGAGAGGCTTGGGAGTAGAAGTCTATCTCTTAAAAGTTTTTTTTCCAAGGCAGGTAAGACTGCTTCTCAAAATTGCAATGAAGTGAAAAACTAAAATGACAAAATCCTTGCTTTGAATGTAAAAGGCTGAGAAAGGTCAGGTGTCATGGCTGGCATCCTTGGGCACTTACAATAGTGCAGTATAGTCTATCCTTGCTGATAATCTTGTAGTTTTACAAGGTCTTTAACCTTCTCTCTCAAAGAGGACTGATGCCTCACCAGACTACAACATTCATTATTCCATAGGATTGTCCCATGGCTGCTAAAGTACTGTCAAACTGCATTAATTCTGCATTGTATACACACACTGTTGTCCAACCCTCAGGCCACTATACCATACTGGCTCTCTCCATCAGGAACAATCTTTAAAAAAATTACTCTCCAAGTTGTGATATTTGTGGTGTGGTGACTAGAATGCTAGACTTTGTCATTGATAGTCTATATATTGTATAACAAGAGCAAAAGGGTGAAATCCAATATCCACTTTCCTTAGTATAATTTTCCTTTTTTAATGGGACTTTCTTTTGAGCAGACATATATCAGATTGGAGCTGGGGGTGGTGATGACTGACAGGGAGCTCTGGCATGGACTGGTCCATGAAGTCACGAAG